CTGCTTGAGGTGATCGACACCTTGGTATTTTTTAGAGCCAATCTTGCTTTCTAAAATACTGCAGACTCAATAGTCCAACGGATTGGAATCCGGAAATTTTGGTGGTCATAGTGCGCTGGAAATGAAGCGAGGAACCTCATTTTGTAACCATTCTTGGGTGGCGCGTGCTAAGTGCAATGATGCCGAATTCTATTGGAATATTCAAAGTCTAAGGCCAAAATGTTTGCGTTTCCAAGGCTTTAATATACCCTCCAAAATATTTTCGCAATAATATTCGGTACCGAGTCCTGTTGGAATGTCCAAGGTCTGCGGCCAAAATGTTTGCGTGCCCAAGACTTTAATATATCCTCCAGAATATTTTCGCGATAATATTCGGCATTTATTCAGATGTCTCGGTTGATTAATACGAGCGGGGAGCGACCATTGGCTGTTATGGCGGCCCACACTCTCACCATGGCCGGCGCTTGAGTTCTGGTGGCCAACCGAAGGTGCACATTTTGAGCTGACCTCTTTGGCAAGTAACCACAATCATTTTGTTTGTTTACAAACTGCAGGACAACAAATGTTTTCTCATCGGCGACGGAGAAAACCAAATTCGGCAGTTCACAACTTTCGGCCAAGGGAAGCAACTTTTTAGCTCTTTTCAGTCTATTTTCATTATGTTGCCTCGGTGTAAGTTCTTGCACTTTTTTTGGAATTTCAATGGCTTTAGTCCGAGCTCATTTTTTAATATTTGCCGGAATGGAATATTGCGTTATGTTCAGCTCACGAGCCATTTTCAGCCACTGCGAGGCAGGTTTCGATCAAATCTCTTCTTTACTTTTCGAAACATTTCTGCTGATGTTGCTGTTTTCTTCCGTCCACTTCCTTGGTGTCGGGCTACGCTACCAGTATCAGTATCACGGTTACGAGCGATGGTACGAGACACAAAAGATTTATTCACATTGTGGAGTGCGGGAGTGCTCTAACGATAGTCACTTGTGGTTTGCCAGCCAAATATAAAGAAATCACACTACCAGGCTTGAATTCCATCACGAATAACTTGTTTTCTGGAAAATTTCCACCAAAATGTTTTGGTAGGCTTGTAAACAATATAATGAGCTGTCACTGGAATAATTTTAACAGCTGTCGCACGAGTGGCTTAGAAATGACAGCAGTCTGAAGTTGGTTGCAGTTTTTTTTATCTCACCCTGTATTTGTATGATTATTCTGGAAGGATGTTGGCTGTAGAATCCTGCAGAAGATGAATACAAAGTTATATAATTAAATACAAAATGATATAATTAAATTCAAAATTACATAATTTAACTACTAGAAAGCCTTGGACTTAAAATTTGAATAAATTTTTATTTTCAAATAGTCGGTGAAATTTTTATAAAATAATTTAATTTCAATATTTAAAAATAATTACTATAAGCGATTTTTTTCGTCTGCCATCTGAGTCACCTTCATCGGCGGAAAATAATCACCAACTAATCCCCTTCATTAAGTTAACCAAAAATGGAAAAATAATACTCTCCAGAAATGCACCACATTTGCCACATAATCCACCCACATGTTCCCTTGAGTCCTTGAAGCCCTCATTAACCTTCAACCACATTTATTATGATTATTTTCCTTTTTTGTTTCTCTTTTAAAACGCATATTCTTTTCATTATATTCCATCATCTCATACAGAAATCCATCTCATTAGTAATGAATCTCAGTATTAATAGGTTTTTTTCTCTTCCAACAAAACAAAAATCTCCTCATTAATACAACAAAAAAAGATTAATAAATTCTAATAACTTGCATGCCATAAATCATCCTCAACCAAAAACAAAAAACTCCCAACCGGCTTGTTATACAAATCAACTCAGGTTAATTATTACGAAATAATAATTTGTATGGAATCCTTAACAAATGAGCATAAATATGAAAACGGGGTGACCCACCCCATGGCCTGAAAAGAATGTTTTGTAGGTTAATTATAAATTTAGATTTAGGAAGAACACATGTTCCCACATTGGTTGGTAATCTCTTTTGGAATATTCTTTTGTTGCAGCCAGGTGGGTAGTGAATCTGTAGACTGAAGAACCTTTAAAAATATATCAAACATCTAAAAGTTCATTCAGGATTAAATTTCCCCTTAAAAGGTCATATATGGCCAGAATACTCTCAAAAAGGTCTTCTATAGAGAGAATGCATTACGAAGGGAGAATTAGTTACGGAGGAAAAAGCTCTTTATTATTGAAAACATTTCAAAGAGATATTAGTTAAGATCCAAAATATCTATGACATGGGAAGGACTCAGAGAGAAAATCCCAAACGAAAAACCTCAGATGTTCTCTCTTACATCGTAGCAAATTTTCAGAGTCTTATCAGAAAGAGATGTCAGAGATTTTATAAGACTTCGAGAAAATCCGTGATACTCGTAGGGATCTCTGTCTCTGTATTAGAGGAAGATTTCAGATATCTTCACTCTGTATTAGAATAAAATTTAAGAAATCTTCTCTACTAGGGGTGATCTCATAGACCTTTTCTTTCTAATAATAGAAAATATGCTACTTTTTACTACTATAATTTCACAGAGTTAAGCTTTCACATATAACATGAGAAGATCTCAGAGGGAAGATTTTAAAAGAAAGACTGCAGATATCTTCTCTCTACAATGTCAATGATTTACTAGAAAAGATCTCAGAGGTTTTATCTGTCTACAAGAAAATCCGTAATCTTCTCACCATACTAGATAAAGTTCTTAGAGATCTTCTATATATATTAAATGAAAATCTCAGAAATCTTCCCTCTATCTGTCTCTCTCTCTCTCAACTAGAGGAAGATTTCAGATACCTTTTCTTTACACGTGTAGGAAATATGCCAGGAAAGGAAGATCTTCGAAGCGTAGTAAAATACTAGGAGAAATGCTATTTCAATGCCAGAGTAATATCTCTCTTTCTCTGTATCAGGCGGATATATCAGAAATCTGGTTTCTATATAAGATAAAGATATCAGCGATCTTCACTGTATACCATAGGAAAGCTTTGAAATGGTTCTTATTTAACAGGAGATTTCAATGATCTCTAATCGACAAATTGAAGATGCCATCTACTTCAATGAGAGATTTCAAAGCTCTTCTATACCTAAAATAGATTTCAAATGTCTTCAACATTATTTTAGTCTCAAATAGCTTACAAATGCCTTCCCTTTATGCAAGAGCCTTCAAAGATCTTGCATTTATAGACTCCCACTAATAAAAGACTTTTTAAGGGTATCGATCGGTAGAAGAGCCTTCAAAATATTTTATTCATAAAAGAGCTTTTAGGAGTATTCTGTCCACAAGTATATTTTACAGGTCTTCTGGTCATAGAATAACTTTTATATGTCTTTTTTAAGGTCTTCTGTTCATAGAAGAACTATCATGTTATTGGGAGAGCTTTCAAAGGCCATATAAGAGCTTTTTAAAATTTGATATTCATTGAAGAGCTTTTAAGAGTCTTCTGCTCATAGAGGAGCTTTCACAAGTCTTATATCCATGGGAGAGCTTTTAAAGATTTTTTATTAATAGGAGAGCTTTCAAAAAGCTTATATGTACTGATAAAATGCTTTCGAAGGTGTGATATTTATAAGAGATTAGAACATTTTTTCTATTCATAGAAAAGGTTCTAAATTCGTGTTTATTCACTGAAAAGCTTTCAACAATTTTTAATTCATAAAAGAGCTTTTAACCGTATTGCATACGTAGGGAAGCTTTTGAGTTTAGTTCTTTGAATAAACGGCTTCTATTACCTCATTTGTAAAACCTTTGCGTCTTAACTAACTTTAGACGATTTTTTTTACCTTTTAAGGCTTTGATATACCAAAAAACGGCATCTACAACTCTCCTATATACCCTTTCCAGAGCTTTTGTAACTAAAAGACCTTCAAAAGTTCTTCTGAAGAACTTTACAAAAAGCTTCCATATTTAGAAGCTCTACAAGAAGTTTTATTTTATAGCTAGAAGGCCCTTTTGTTATTACATTTTGTTTTTGAGATTTGAAGACACTTTACAGCTCATCTTTAAAGTACCTCTATGAGTAGAAGACTTTCTAAAGCTCTTCTTCGAACAGAAGACCTTGTCATATAGCTTTGTATGCTTTCTTATACATGATATATCTTCTAAAGTTCGTCTATTCTAAATATTCCTTCCGATCTCTTCTATACAGAATAACGTCAAAAGCTCATCTATACTTTTTTAAGGCATTTTAAAGCTCTCATATATATAACCAGGCTACTCTATATTTAGTAGACCACTTAAAGTTCTGGTTTACGTAGGGGTAATTTTCAAGTTATTTTATAGAAGTTCTTTGAAAGCTCTTTTTTTGATTTTTTAAACAATTTCCACAGCTATAAATCTTTTTACGCTTTTAGAACTTTCCAAGCTTTTCTGTGAGTGGGGCTTTTTAAGTTTCACTGTGATTACAAGACTGTTTATAGCACCTCTACGAGTGGAGGTCATATTAGAGCTCTTCTGATAATAGTAGACCTTCAGCAGGTTAAAGATCTTTGTAAGCTTTTCTACAACAAAAATTATTTTCGATCTCTTTAAAAGATAAAACTAAGTTAACTGCCCTCCTATTGATAAAATAGCCTCCAAGAGCCTCTCATATCATCAGAAGACATTTTGAAACTCTTTAATATATAGCTCTTCTATATCTAGTAGAGCTTTTAAAGTTCTTTTTATATAAATTATTTTCAAGGTGGGCTTTAAAATCTCTTCCCTTTATTAGATAAATTCAAGATGACAAAAAAGCTTTTTTCATAAAATAATACTCATAAAAGCTCTAGAGTAAATAATTATCATCAGAGCTTGTTATATTCTTATCGAACGGTATTTTTTAAATTACTTTCCCCTCAAATTTCTAAAATTTATATCCCTTCAAATTCATCACCTTTTTGTATATTATACCAAAATCCAGCCATCATTACTAATAACATTTCTCTTTTTTTTTGTTTCTTTCTTTTGCCTTCTTTTCTCATTATAGATTTGATGCCCGTGGACGGCCATTACATCAGGGCATACCATGGGCCGATGAGAATGTTTTCAATAAAAAAGCCCACTTTTATTATGACTCAAATCCGCCGGCTTTAAGGATTAAAAACATACAGCCAAGTGATGCCGGTCTGTATAAATGTCGGGTGGATTTTCATAAATCACCGACGCGTAATTGGAGGATAAATGTAACCGTATTGGGTAAGTGTTCTGAGGGGGAGTGCGGGAGTACAACAAAATGGGGGGCGTAAATGATGTAGCTTTGTTAAATTTTTCGTTTTTTGTATTTTATTAATATAAACATTTCATTTTATGGGCAAAAAGTCAGTGGGTGTTTCAATTAAATTTTGTGATAAAAGAAAAAAATGAAATGAGAGAGTGCCTGACAAAAAAAAAAAAAAAAAAAAAAAAAACATAAAAATGTCAGCAGCAGAGGTTGGAAAATTTGTGGGAGAATTCTTTGGAATTTAAAAATTTGAAAATTTTTTAATGTTTTATTTATGGCATAAAATGTTTGAAGTTCTTAAAACTTATTTGCCATATTTTGAATTAAAGTGCCTGGTCCTCAATTTATTTTATTTTCTGTTTTTTTTTTTTTTTTTTTTTTCTTCCTTAAATTTCATTTTATTTTCCTTCCTCTTTCAGTGCCACCCACCCATTTGACAATATTGGATAATCAAGGAGCAGCAATACGCGACCAGAAAGCCGGTCCCTATTTGGAAGGTGAAAGTCTGAACATAACGTGTTTATCAAGCGGCGGTGTGCCACCACCACGTGTCTCCTGGTGGCGTGAACATGCTTTGGTCGATGATTCATATGACGTACTACCAGATGGCAGTGTGCGCAATACGCTGCAGTTGAAAAATATTTCACGCAAAGATTTATTAACGGTAAGTGTGTCCTTTTGCTAGTAACAGGCACTGGCCAGCATTGCGGGAGTGGATGTTACATCCTCCCATGCCATTATGTAGCGGGTCGCCATGGGATGACTGTTACATAAAACCGTAGCTTTTTTTGTTGGTCTGCTTCTCTTCCTCTCTTCCTCTGCTTTTTTGGTGTAATGTGTCCTACAACCATAAGTCGTGTCTGTGGGAGACACCATGCTTTGTTGGTTATCCTTATTTAACGAACCATGCTAACAACGAATATCAACATCATCACTGCCAGAGGCATACTTAAAGGCCAAGCTGTTCTATTTTGCTTCGCTTCTTCTTTTTTTTTTGGTTTTTCATTCACCTACATTTCTTTAAATGAATAGCCATTTTTTATGCTGCCCAACTATTCTCCAGCTAAGGTTGAAATAAATAATGGCCACAGCATCGTGTTTGCAATTGAACTTTGAGTATTTTTTTCTCTCTCTTCTCTTCTCCTCTCCACTCTCTTTTCGTTGGTTGGGATTTAGTTTTTTATGTTTTGTAATTTTCTTCCTTAACTTTTATTGAATTTATAGTTGGGGCAAAAGTTTTAAAGGGAATCAAGAAAATATTTAAGTGGATTTGCGGTGAGGTTTTGCAGATTTTTTTTTTTTTTTTTTTTGTGGAGAACATTTACTGACATTGACTTATATAAAAGGAAATTGATGGTTTTGAATTTGTATTGAAAAGCGGATAACATGAAAATAGGAAAAACTTATTTAAATGGGATGTGGGCAGGATATGGAAGCTACTGAAGGGGAACAAGGAAAAGTAAAGTTGTGAAATTTATTTAACTGGGTTTCCTACAAAAAATATAGCCGCATAAGGCTAGTTAGGCATGTTAGGGTCAGTCAATCCCAGTTTACACATCATTATTTCAATCATATGTAAGGTGAGTTTTTCAAAATGATATTTAAAAATTTTAGGGCCTACTTTTAGGCGCTCTCCATAGTATTTATATTTAATACAAGAGCTTCTGTGTCTACCGGAACTTTTAAAGTTCTTCGGAAATACTTTTGAAAAATCCGCTCAATATATTCTATAGTTAGATAAGCAACTGCATAGTTAAAAGGACGTTTTACGATCTTCTCTCAGAAGATGAAATCATATCAAATGATTTTTAGAGCCTATTTTAAGGCGCTCCAAACAATTTTTTACACTGTCGATATACCCTACACCATAGTAGGGAGGGTATATTAAGTTTGTCATTCCGTTTGTAACGCCTTTAAATATACATTTTAGACCTCACATAGTATATATATTCTTGAACAGCATAAAATTCTATGTCGATTTAGAGATGTTCGTCCATTTGCCTGCCGTCCTTTCATCTGCCCGTCTGTGGAAATCACTCTAGCTTCCGAACGAGATGAAGTAGGTTGCTAAAATTTCACTCAAACGTATATTATGTCTGCAAGACTTTTGGTATTGAAAATGGACCATGTAGGTCCACGTTTTGGTATAGCCCCCATATAATGCTACCTCCCTATTTTCGGTATTTTGGTGATATAAGCGGTATCATTCATCGGAATTATTTCAAATTTCGCATTTGAAGTTCGTAATGGATGCTACAGCCTATGACAGAAAATTGTCCATGCAGGTCCCCGTCTTCGTATAGCCCCCATATATCTTAACCTCCCTATATTCGGTATTTTGATGATTTTAGCGACATTATTTAGCGTAATTGTTTCAAATTTGGTATTTGAAGTTCGTAATGGATACTACAGCTTATGACGGAAAATTGTGTGTGCAGGTCCACGTCTTCGTATAGCCCCCACATTACGGTACCTCGCGATATTCAATATTTTGATAATTTTAGCGACATTATTTACCGGAATTGTTTTAAATTTGGTATTTGAAGTTCGTAATTTATGCTACAACCTATGACAGAAAATTGTCCATGCATGTCCAGGTCTTTGTATAGCCCCCATATAACGGTACCTCCTGATATTCGGTATTTTGATGATTTTAGCGCCATTATTTAGCGGAATTGTTTCAAATTTGGTATTTGAAGTTCGTAATGGGTACTACGGAATAAGAAAGAAAATGGGTCATGAAGGTCCACGTCTTCGTATAGCGCCCGCATGACGGTACCTCCCTATATTCGGTATTTTAATGATTTTAGCGACACTCTTCACCGGAAGTGTCTCAAATTTGGTATTTGAAGTTCGTAATGGACACTACAGCCTATGACAGAAAATCGTCTTTGAAGGTCCACGTTTTGGTATATACCCCATATAATGGTACCTTCCTATATTCGGTATTTTGATGATTTTAGCGACATTATTCTCCGGAATTGTTTCAAATTCCTTATTTAGAGTTCGTAGTGGGAACTACAGTCTTTTGCAGAAAATTATCAATGCCCCATATATCAGTACCTCCCTATATTCGGTATTTTGATGATTTTATGTAAAATATTCACCGAAAGTTTTTGAAATGTCTTATATGAAGTTCTTAATAGGTACTACAGCCTATGACAAAAAAAATTGTCCTTGCAGGTCCACGTCTTCGTATAGCCCCCATATAGCAGCACTTCCCGACATTTGGTATTTTTATGATTTTAGCTACATTTTTCATCGATTTTTTTTCAAGTTTCGCGTTTGAATATTGAAATGACTTAAGACAAAAGTTGCCTATGCAGGTCCACGTAGTCCCTAATGTAACGGCTACATTCGGTATTTTAAGATTTTAACAGAATTGTTAAGGTTTTTTTTTTTGAAAATTGCCAAATTCGTTCTAAATGGTGTCGAACTTACAGCTTTTTTACTTTTTTTCATTTGTAAATTTAGGGGTTTCAAGGGCTCATGCTGAAGAAAATCCTGTCTCCGTAACTAAATACATCACCAAATATAGAATATTTTCCCCCTGTGACCTTTTTTTCCTCTTCTGAACAACAAAAAAAAAGCAAAAGACAAATAGAAGAATTTATAAATTGCCCGAATGAAATCAACTTTAATGCAGCCAATTTTAAAAATTTCAAAATGTCTAGGTAACGAAGAAAAATTCGAAAAAGAAAATAGGAAAAGCGAAACAAAGAAAATGTGATTTGAAAGGTACACAACAGTAAAACTAAATACGGTAATATATCAAAAAAAATCTGAAAAATATCTGGAGCATAAGTAGCAGAATGGTAAAAGTGACATTTGTCATACCCACACATCCATAAACCGTCTCTCGTTGGCGATGGTTGCATAACGTAAGGACAATGCCATAGTAGGATATATTACCAAAATATGTTGGCTTTGTTCATGGGATTGAATGGAGCATACAATTTCTAATGGGAAATTTCACCCAAGCGTATTTGGAGGGGGGACGAGGTGGCGGTGAAATATTTTTTCCAGGACAATAAAATCAAGCCTTGAAAAAATAATATATTCCCAAGGATCTATTTGCGGTAAATGGCTTTTAACAAATCTTATTTTAAATTTTGATGTTGTTATGATTGTGAGGTGAGGGGAATTAATATATCGTGGTTGGTTTTGTAATGTATACTGGGTATATGAACTGTACTTTACGGTTCTAAATTCGGTACGATTTGGATTTTTACGATTGGAAATGTTGATATTGGGATAATTGTTGAGGTATAAAGTTGAGAATTGTAGGTGGTTCTAGGTTACTAAAAATTTCGAGAAGTACTACATGGTACTAAATTTTCTATATGAGGAATGGATAGAGTTGGAAATCTCATATTTGGTATTAGGGTCGGATTCACTTTCACTTTCATTACCGGCAACGAACTTGAGGAAGTTGTGATTTCTTTAAATTCAAAGAGAGATGAAGCCTTCGATGACAGCGAACAAAAACCGAAAAGATTTTTCGTTGATGTTGCTTTTGCAGGGTTCGACTACGGCTGCCCAAGGGTAATCTATGTCAGAGTAGATGAATCCAGGGGTAATCTAGAGTGGAGTAGATGGATTGAGGGGACAGCTACGGAAGAGCAGATTGTCCCAATGGTCATGTACGTTGTTGTAGATGAATCCAGAGGTCATATATGGTAAAGCCGTCAGGAATCGATGGGATATCTACTGTAGCGTAAATGGACACAGGGGCATCAACAGTGGATGACTTCAATTCGAAGACGTAGACCAGTTGAAGTTCCCTTCGAAGAAGATAGGAGACCTTCTGCGGTCTTCTATCCATAGCAGACCTCCTTTCCATACAGAGAAGACTTTCTGACGGTCATCTGAATATAGAAGACCTCCTGACGGACTACCATGCATAGAATAACTCTTAACGGTATTCTGTTCATAGAAGGCCTCTTCACGATCCTCCGTAAATAGAAGACCTCTTGACGATTTTCTATATAGGGAAGATCTTTTGATCTCTATAGAAGAATTCTTTATGACACTCTAGCCGCAGAAGATCTCCTGACGATCTTTTGGCGATAGAAGACCTCTTGAGGCTCTTCTAGCCATATAAGGCCTCTTAACCGACTTCCAGCCTAAGTAAAGCTGCTTACGGTCTTCTACCTAGCAGACCCCCTGATGGTTTTCTAGCCACAGAAGACCTTCTGACGATTTCCGAGCCATAGAAGACTTCTTTACGGTCTTGTAAACATAGGGGACCTCCTGACGGTCTTCAGTACGTAGAAGTCAGAGAAGATCTCCTGACGGTCTCCCATACATAAAAAATCTCTTGACGATATTCTATATAGGAAAAGCCTTCTGACGATATTTTAGCCATACAAGACTTCTTTACGACTTTCTAGCCGTAGAAACCCTCTAACGATCTTCAGGCGATAGAAGACCTCCTGACGTCCCTCTAGCCATTGAAGTCCTCTTGACAGTCGTCTAACTATGGAAGATCGGACCATAGAAAACCTTATTGACGGTCTTCTTGACATAGAAGAACTATGGACTGTCTTCTAGCCATAGAAGATCCTTTAGAAGTTCCCCTTAAGGTTTTCTAGCCATGGAAGACCTCCTGATGTTCCTCTCTTCATAGAAGACATATGGAGGGTCTTCTACACATGAAAACCT